ACACGGACGAACAACTTGCTTGGTTACAAAACAGGATGAAATATAAATGCTCGCCAGTTAGGCTTGTTTATCCTCGCTCAACGATGTAGTTAGACAGCTAACTGGAGTAGGTGATCTAAAACCCGACTCATACAAATAACCATGTAAAACAGTAACTTGACAACTAAAATTAGTTCTTAGCCAAGAATATGATACATGAGATTCATTTCATGTTGCAGCCCTTAAATTTTCCAACCATTGTAAGTAATTTTATTATTTTATTCCTGCATTCTTTTCTTTTGTCACTCTTAAATAAATAATTAGACCAGTATAATTTAGTAAAAATGGTTAATTGACAATTTCTTTGGGTTCGATAATCTGGTTCTTTTAAGAGTCACTATATTACTTGTGTGACCGCGTACACTTACGTGTACAACTGGGAGCAACAATAATCATATAAAATGGTTGATATTTTATCTTAAAGCATCCTTGGTTCATGGAAATCTTTATAACATAATGCATGCATATGAAATAACATAGTCGTGAACATATAAATACTTGCATAGCATGGGTTCATGAAAATATCATTGAAAACACTGGATTATGATCAAATCATGCACAATAAGATTAATCATGAATAATAAACTTAAATTCAATAGAACTCATAAGAAATTATGAAATCCGAAATTTGGGTAAGAATCATAATTGGAGAAATTGAGGTTTCTTTGGGACTCAATGGGTGAAGAAGAACCCATTAATGAAGTTCATTCATACCTTGATTGAAAGTCAAATTGAATTTGGAAGAGGAGACTTGAAGCTTGAAACCATGATCTTGTCTTGGGAGAGAAAGCTTAAGAGAGGGTTTTGGAATTTGAGAGAATGAGACGGACTGGGGGAGGTTAGAGGTCTCAGGGATCTATTTTACTCTTCAAAATAGGCCTCAAACTATGTAGTATAGGAATTTAAAAAGTAAGAAAAGACTCAACTACCTCTGAGAATAACTGTCGTATCAATATTCACGGGCACCATCCACGGACCATGTAACCTTCTACCGTCCATGACGTGTCTGTAGAAGACAAAGGGAAGAAAAATTGATGTCGGAAGTGTAACACCTCAAAAATTTCTAAACTAAGGCCCGAACCAATCTTTAATTTCTTGTAAAATTGAATCGGGTGATCCTTAAGTTACACATATGTGTAAATGTCATTTCTTTGGTGTTCAAATGGATTTGGATATGATTTAAGGTCACAAGAACCCCCTAGCACAAAGTTGAGTGGAAATCTTCATTTCCGATTAAGTTTTGACATAAGATTCTACTTAGGTCAACTTCAAACGATCATATCTGCTAGCACAAAATGAATTACGTGGCTTATAGCCTACCAATTAAAGTTCTTTGAATCTTCTTTCCACCACCACCAAGTTTGCCTCATTTAATGTACGGAGTAAAAAGTTATGACCATTTTACCAAAGAATATCAAACCAGAGTTTTCTGAGTCTATGAACGACGACCCTAACCAAAGGGCCGTGGGTTGTGTTTTATATTAAAAAGAAGAAAACGGCGGGTTTTTAAGAGTCGCCACTTAATTTTTTAAAGTAAAATTAAGAAAATTATTTTTTCCAAAAGATTAAAACAGAATTCTAATGAAAATATAAAAAGGGGTTCGGGGTTCATATTAGCATTTCGGGAAGGGTTTGAAAGCACCCGAAATGTCTACTAACATGCGGTTATCCGACAATTAAAATATTTGGCTAATATTTTAAAAGTTAAGCATGCTTGACTAAGTGAAAGTAAAATATTTACTTTATTCTAAATAGTTAATTCAAAATGGCTATCTTTTGGGGCATTGATTAGGAAAACCTTAAAATTAGATAAACACACTAGCATGCAAAGTCAATTGAATAACGAAAGAGAGAAGATGGGCCCAAGTTCGATTTTTGTCCGCCTAGGCCGATACTTGGGCTTAATCGTGTTTTTGGGCCTTTGGCCCAACACTTGGCACCTGTCCTAGAAATCTGATTTTTTATTGGGCTTTAGGCCCAATTCCACCTGTCCTAGAATCTAACAAGATAATGGTAAATAAGTGGGCTTAGGCCCAAAAGTAACAAAATACAACTTCTGGAATTAAGAGTGGCCCAATCTTTTCAATTCTCCAATCTGCTGCATATTCTTTCAACTCCGGGTCCTGTTCTTCGATTTTACGGCTGGCTGACTCGATAAAGGGAATTTGAGCCTTCATGGCTCTCTCGGAATGCAAGGGAAAGGAATGAGTTAGTGGTGAACTCGGGCAGATTTCACATGCAAACAAGAAAAAGGGATAGGAATGAGTACTCAATAATAACATCCTAAGATCGAAGCTTTAAAAGACAATGAGGATTACGGTCAAGATAATAAATGCATCAAAGTGAGTATGAATTGACGACCCTTAAACTAAAGTAAAACAAATTAAATGAATTGAACAAAATAACAGATAACTAGCAGTGACCATGACTAATTAATCATCACTAGATTTTAAACAAAACTAACAAGACCCAACATTAGATCATAAATAGGCATCAGGAGAATGACTACATTCTGCCAACTAAGACCAATCCGAAAATAGGCCAATATATTCCTCTTGATTGGAATCAATATCATCAAGCTCAAATTAGAACAAAATGAGGGTGAGGATAGGCTGAATCTCAAGAAAGAAAATCATGGCAAGCAAACATTAATTTTGACATAATGACAGGCAAAGTAACCTAAGCAAACTGTTATTTTTTTCCCCTTTTAAACCAACAGTGAATAACAATAGAAAAAGATACAACTCATGTTCTCATATGATTAAGCAAAGTAGTAAACAACCCATGTAATACTAAAATGAACCCAAATGCTTTAAACATGCACAAATCATCAGATTAATATTTATAAGGCAAGAAAATAATTCACTTAATTCTTAGACATGACTGAAAGAGGGATTTAACACCTGCAAATTAATAAGAGCTTTTAGCATTTTTCTAAGAAATCAGTCTAGCAATAGGATGATATAATAATGCAATTAACAAATCAGAGGCTCACCACTTTGAGCTAGTTTCAACACAGAGTGAAAGAATGAACAGTTTACGGCTGATTTATGAAACAACACGACAAGAACCAACAAGTTAAAACTAAATGCTTAAAGAATCAGAAGGAAAGGCTCAAGGCTATCAATACAAATACACTTTACATTCTTCAGATAGATTTAAAGCTAGAAATAACCCGCTTTATCGTAACTTAACAGACAACCAAAGAAAGACTCAAACCAAAGCTTTCAAATTTGTATTAACATCAGAAATTTTAAACAAAGCAAAAGACAGCTTGCTAACTATGGCATATAAATATTTACTGTAACATGTGAAGAAGCTACGATGATGAACGAACGATTGATCCAAAAGATTAACTACCAGAAGCTAGTGATCAACCCCAAGCCATTAGATGGACAGAAGTGAGTTCAAAACAATTTTAGGCATATCTCAAGAATAAAAGCGAGCTCAACTCTGTCAAAACTTACAACCAATAATCAGTTCATAGAGTTCAAATTGACAAGAAGCATACATTCAATGAACACGACTTTCCAACAGAACATTTGAGCAAAGTGATGCAAAATATCGATCAACCTATTCCAAAACATAAGCGAGATTACTCAAGAATAATTTAAACACTCGCATTCAAACTAAAACAAGCTTTCATCCATGAGTATATTGATCAAAATAAGACAGAACAAAACGAAACCAAAGAAACTCCACAGAAACAGGTTTATCACACAACATGTAAAATCTAAACAAAACGCTGAAGAGGGAAGAGATATTACCTTTTTCCGGGCAGCAAACTGGAACAACGAGCTTGAACTATGAAGCTTCCACCACCACGTGAAAGGCTCCAATGGAAGTTTCTGGCGAAAAAGAACAGAGAGCTTAAGACGAGACCTCAAGGCTTGAAACTATTGAATTATAACTATAGAAATCCTTATAACTCTGTACCAATACCGTATTCTTTTTGTCTCCTCTCTTTCCAACTCTATTTTTTCCAACTTTAACAATGAAGAATAAGGAACTATTTATAGAAGGGAAATTAGGGCACAATTTTGGAGGGGAAAACGAAGGGTAATTTCGGATAAGAACAAGCCCACGAAATTTGAATTCCAACTCAAATTCTATCCCAAAAAATAGAGAATTCTCACAATTTCAACGGATTGAAATAGAGGTGGAGGGCTAAGATCGATTTCATTGTCCTCGAGTGTCCGCGTGGCTCGATCTCACCCTACAAGGACAAAGGACGCTGCTGCTTTTCTGCTGCAGGTACAAATTGGAGAGGGACGTTGAGGAAGAAGACAAGAAAAAGCAAGGTACTTGTAACATCTGGCAGTTTGAAATAACTATGAAGAAGCTTAAAAATTGGAGATTTTCATTTTTGGAAAGAATTAAAAATCTGGAAAAGCTAGCTAAGTAGCTAAGTACGAGACCTCAAGGCTTGAAACTATTGAATTATAACTATAGAAATCCTTATAACTCTGTACCAATACCGTATTCTTTTTGTCTCCTCTCTTTCCAACTCTATTTTTTCCAACTTTAACAATGAAGAATAAGGAACTATTTATAGAAGGGAAATTAGGGCACAATTTTGGAGGGGAAAACGAAGGGTAATTTCGGATAAGAACAAGCCCACGAAATTTGAATTCCAACTCAAATTCTATCCCAAAAAATAGAGAATTCTCACAATTTCAACGGATTGAAATAGAGGTGGAGGGCTAAGATCGATTTCATTGTCCTCGAGTGTCCGCGTGGCTCGATCTCACCCTACAAGGACAAAGGACGCTGCTGCTTTTCTGCTGCAGGTACAAATTGGAGAGGGACGTTGAGGAAGAAGACAAGAAAAAGCAAGGTACTTGTAACATCTGGCAGTTTGAAATAACTATGAAGAAGCTTAAAAATTGGAGATTTTCATTTTTGGAAAGAATTAAAAATCTGGAAAAGCTAGCTAAGTAGCTAAGTATGAGCCACAGTGGTAAACACAAAAAGCAAGCAACTCAAATAGAAGTGGTGGTTCATGCTACTTCTGAAAAATCAATGAAAAACAGGAAAACCCCAACAGACAGAGCTCATCCAATAGTCACAGGATCTCGACATAAAGTATCCAATTAATATGGATCACTGATCGTAGCAAACGATGGATCCCAACATCAATCTTGCAATTAACACACAAAAATGGAAAATGAGAATCACAACAAAAAGAAGAAGAAGAAGAAGAGAAAGAAGGGAACTGAACAAAGAGGCAAACATTCACTCAAAAGAGAAATGGTCCTTACCAGGACAAAAATCGGTGAGGAAATGGCTGACCATGGAGTTCTGGAGAGTTCCAAGAGTCATTTCAATTTTCACTTTAGTGCTTTTAGATATAGAATTCATTTGCTTTGTTTTTATTTTATTCTTGTTGGGTCAATTTTGGTCCATCTTTTGAACATAGCCCAATGGGCATTTCTTTAATAAAAATGGCCTGATGGCCAAAAAGTGTTTTAAAAAAAAAAAAAAAAAAGTATGGGAAAAAAAGTGAGTTTTTGGCCAGCTTTTAACAGTCATAACTCCTAGCTCATGATTATTTAGGTGTAGTTCCAGTTATTTTTGCGAAACTCGTGGAATGATCTTTCCAACGCCGCCGAGTTTTCTCGATTCCGAGTTCGTATGAGTGAGTTATGCCCTTTGGAAGTTGGGCTGTTGGCACAGGGCAGTTCACCCGAAATTGTAAGGGTATTTTGGTCTTTTCCCTAACCAATTCTTTTGGTCATATTAGGGATTTAGACTGATTTTTAGATCAGTTTTTCCCTTTTAAAAGAGTGAGAGTGAGGGTTTGTGAGTGAAGAGGAGAAGAAGAGGAGAAAGAGAAGAACAAGCAAGGAGATCGTCGTGGTATCGTCGGGGGTGATCCCTATTAAGGTATGTGAGATCATAGTGTTGGGTTGGTTCTTTCCCCCACACGCCAAACTCGTTTTAAATTCCGAGAAAAGATTGATTATGTTTGTTGAAGTTGTTGGTTGTAGTTGTTGAAGTTGTTGGTTGTGATTGTTGTTGAAGTTCTTGTTGGTTTGCTACATGTTTCCAGTTGTGTTTTGAGTTGAATCTATTGTATGTGGAGGGGTTTTATGATATTAATTGTTTGGGGCTGGAACCATTGAAGTTAAGGAGGTTTAGAGTTGGGAAAAGGAAGGAGAAAAGTCAAATTTTCGGGGAAAAGGGCTGGGGCGTCGCGCCAACCAGCGCGCCCCAAAGGGGACTCTGAAGTCCAGTCCTTGGGGCGGCGCGCCTAGCAGTGCGCCCCAGCTTCCCTTCTGAGCTTTGTGGTCTGGTGCCCCGCGCCTCTCAGAGCGCCAAGGACGC